AAAAAACGAGCGCTTCATGGAACAATTCGTAATCTTAAGTGTTAAAAAATGTGGAGAGCAATTTCGACGTTCGGAAAAACAGATGCAAGGTTTTTAAGAACCAAAGTTTCGTAAAGTTCAGAATAAGAGAACTGAGTTTTTGATGCAAATTTTAATTTGACGTTGCTGTGATATTGCTTCAATTCTGTATAAAAATCTTTTATTCATATTTAGCCTAAAAGGCAAACATCTCCGCAACCTCTAAGTAAACTTTGCTTCGCTCATTAATCTCTCTCTCTTAAGCCTATCAATAATTACTACACACCCGTTGATACGAAAATTATCTCGAGCAGGTAATATCACCTACGAGGCATGAAGTTCTTTAGAAGTTTTTCTTTTTAGGCGAATTTGCGTTGTATAATTTGCATAATCAATACCTGGCAAAATTGATTTTGCTTTGTTTTCAAATTCACTAAAATCGTCTCTTATTTTTCCTAACATGCTTTCTAACGATGAGGACATCAAGGCGCCGGTTTTTGGGTCAATTTATTCTGTCTGGAGAGCTTTGCTTGTTAATCGAAAACAAATTAAAATATTGCTCCACAAAACGAGCATGAAGACAAATTTAAAAGTTCTCATTTTATTTGCAATACTTTCAGCTTCGTTCCTCGTTTCACTTTTTTGAGAGGGATCCTTTTTTGAGAGCAATCTCATTTAATGCTGTTAAAATTTCTTTGAAAGAAATAAGAACTGCTTCGGTAGCATTTGCGTAAGCCTCCCAACGCCTTATTGATAATGATTTAAGCACTTTTTCTTTCCCGAAGTGTTGTTTTAAGATATCCCAGCAATGCGTCGGATTTGAAAAATACGTAAATACGTACTTTTCAAATTCGACGCTACTATTGCATACGTATACAATAGCTGCGCAATAGAAAAAAACTAGCATTTTTGTACAGAAGATACTAGTATCATTGTACAGAAGTTTGTACAACTAAGTATAACGAATGCGTAGCACACGGTATATATACCACATGCTCATTGAAATTAGACATTATCGCTTGCATCCCTCAGTATACTGCCAACATAGTTGCGGCATCGTTGAAAGACTGACCTCTACAATATTTAAAAACTAAGTAACAAGTCTTGCCTAAAACCTGCTTTGCTATTATCGTCTTTTCATAATTAAAATCGTTCGACTGGCTTTCCGTACTTAGGCGAAACGTATCGAACAACTATACTCAGTTGATCAATGGGATCAATGTCAGGAATTGAATCGACTGAAACACTAAAATAGCGAGCGACTAAAATTTCTCATATAATGTGAGATCGCACTTTTTCTCCCATTATATTAATCAACTTCTCGCATATTGTTTTTGATAAGTAAGATGGATTTGCTTTACCTTTATTCGTATATGTTGCGATGTGATTTTTCAAAAATGAATCAAACTGAGCAAAAAGTTCTAGGAAACCCAAATAATTCCCATTATCTGAAGCACCAAAATACTCGTTTGTTCCGCAAAAAGATAAACCTCGTTTAGATAACATTATAATGACTGGTATAAGAACAACTTTTACTAAGAAAGTTTGATAGCGGATTGAAGTCACTACCAAAAAAATCCGAAGCGCTGCTCCTCTACCAATTAGATTTAGAAATACCAATTAAAGGTGTTTAAATTACAGATTTTTTTATTTACTTAAATAAAATAAAATTAAATTAAATAAAAGGAAAATGAACTTTTCAAAATTTTAAAATTTTCCTTTGTTATCAAAATAATTTCAGATGTTATATTTGTTTTAATTACTTTAAAGAATCGGCAAGTGTGATTTGTATAAAATATCCACAACTAGCCCGATATATTAACATTAAATATATGCGTTACTCAAGACTTTTCTATCGTCTTATTGAAGTAAACTTTATCTAAAACTGAACAAAAACATTTAAAATTAAAGAACAACTGAAATTTTTTTATTGTGATATATTATAAACGATTCAATGTATTCCATGTTTTTTTTTGAAATTTCTTCATGTAAAATAATGCTTATTCTTGTGACTTTTTAATTCAATTTTTCAAAATATTTTTGTTTAAAATTAAAATTTTTTCAGCTGTTGCTTTTATTCTCAAAAAAAATATCAAGTTTCAAGGAGTTAATAGAAGCTCAAAACTGGAAAGCTCATGGCACACGTTATTGCAGACCTGCATCAGGAGTTTATTATAAACGAGAAAAGGTGTAAAAGCAGATTATTTCAAAAATTGTTTACTGATAACTGTTTCTAGTTCTAGAATATATTTTTCAAATTTCAGAAGTGTTGTAGTCAATTGAAATTTGGTATTTTACAAAGTTTTTTTTTTAATCGTCAGGTTGATGCAACAATTACAGAAAATGGTTCAAACTATGCTAGCACCTAGCACCTTGACTTCTAGCACCCTAAGCACCTTTAAACAGTTTGATTTTTGCCAATTTGATAAGTAAGAGGATCTTAAGCTGGTTCAACTAAATTCTTTTAGGATTAAACTCTAGAAAGTTGCAATGATGATATCATTTTACGAAAGCACTGTTGTTGCTTAGCTCAGACAATCAGCATGCTGGCTTTTAAGGATACCCAGAAAGTGTCAAGCTGGAAATCGCATCATAGGCCAATTTTTCAAAGCAAGCTACAAAGTCTAGCAAATATGAAATGCCCAAAATAAGAGGAATGTAATGGCAAATGACATCAAGGCAGTCCGGAGGTTGGCAACACCAGGGATCACTAGTTTGAACTTCTGATATGATGCTTTAAAATAACAATAAAAGTACACAGTTTTCTTTACTTTTTTTGTAACAAACATTAAGAAAACAAAATGTTGAAAAATTTAATAAAAAACTCGTTTATCAATTTTTAAGTTCGTGTCGTTAAAATATTAGAAAAGTATATATATATATATATATATATATATATATATATATATATATATATATATATATATATATATATATATATATATATATATATATATATATATATATATATATATATATATGGAAAAGTTGCATAAGATGAGCAGGTTCCTAAGATGGTACAACCTTTTTTAAGGGTAGACTACTAATTTTTTTTGCGAATTTTATAGCTAAGTATATTCATAGAAGTTCGGCGGTGTTATTTATTTAATTATTTTAGTTTCTTGGTTGTGTATTTAATATCCTTTCATTGTTTTATTGTTTAAAAAATTTGCCATCCCCGTTATAATCTTTTATTATTCAATATTCTGGTATGTGTTTTTTAACACATCCCATCGAGCAGGAGAGAATAAGCAGTAAAAGTTTTCTATGCTTACAAAGAAGCTTATTACATAAGGGTTTAATTTTGCTGACTCCTACACGGTTTAATAAATGGGCTCGACATGGAGAAAATAAGGCAGATTGATTTTATTTTAAGATGTGGGCCTTAACACCATTTGTTTTACCACAAATATTTGAATCATTGTCTTAACCTTGTGAACGACAAATTTGAAGTGGTTGTGTCATTCTAAAGAGACAAGTATTAAGTGTTTTTTTTCTGTTTTCCCGTTAAAGTTCATAAACTCTGTGAAACGCTCGTTTACTTCAAATACCTTAGTGTCCATATTTTGAGATGCTTTAAAATAAGAACATATTTTGTCTGTATTTTGAACATATTTAGTTAGTGTTCTTAGACATATTTAGTTAGTGTACTTAGTGTCCATATTTTGAGATGCTTTAGTGTCTTTAAACATATTTAGTTAGTGTACTTAGTATCCATATTTTGAGATGCTTTAAAATAAGAACATATTTTGTCCATATTTTGAGATGCCTTAAAATAAGAACATTTTGTTCGATGTGTGAAATATCCGGAGTTGTATACTTTTTTTTGGTTTTGGTTTTGGTTTTTTGAAGTATATTCATACAAGTTCGGGGGAGTTATTTATTTTAGTTTCTTGGTTGTAAAGTTATATCCTTTCATTTTTTTATTGTTAAAAAAATTTTCCATCCCCGTTATAATTATAATAACAGTTATTAATTATAATAACTAAGTTTTACAAAAAAAGATTGCATTTTTTCTTCGATCTAAAATAGTTTGTAGAACTTTGTCTGAACCTAAATTAATGAATTCATTTTGAGAGTACCAAGACAAATAATGTTATTTTCCCTTCATACTTTTCGATTCAAAATAACTTTGTTGTACTTTGGCAAGATGTTGCTGAGTCACTTCATCGTAATTTCCAATCAATTCTAAGATCCCTAAGAAATTACCTTTATAAACATACCCAATTGTTGTGTTCTCTCCTCGAAATGCTAAACCTCTAGATGATAAAAATAATGTGACACATATAATCCGTTTCCGGTTTGTTTTCCGCTTATTTCTCTCACATTGTATTTGGAGCTGTAATTGTTTGTCTATTCCATTCCATTTTATTTTCGATGCTCAGTACTAATTTTATGATCGGGCAAAATATTATACAACTTTTTCCATGGTGTCTTTTTAGGGGAAAATCCTACACGGGCTAAACTGCTCAAATTGTGATTATTTTGATTACAAAAAATACGGCATGGTATGTGTAATATGCACAAATAAATATTTGTAATTGTTTCTGATATGGTGTGTGTAATATTCACAAACACAATTGTGTCTAATACGGTATGTATAATATACACAAATACATATGTGTAGTTGTGTCTGGTATGTGTAATGTTTAATTAACTAAGAATAATATAAATTAACTACTATTTTATTGTTAAATTATAAATTATTTCTTATTAAAGCAGCAAATTGAAGAAAAATACTTGCTATAAAAATACAGTTGGAATAGATAAATAAATATACAAAACAAAAGCTTTCTGAACTTTACAAAAATATTTAATACAATAGTCGTTTTTTACAGGTATTACAGTATTTGCTGTTTACTTTGTTTACATTGTTTCCATCATACTTTTTGATTACATTTTTCTTTTGATTCAAAACTGTGGGTTAACTTTTTATTATTGTTAAGCGTGGATGTCCTGGGGCAAAAGAGTAGGGGCTTTCCTAAAACTTTATGTTAATAAGACCCCATCACAAGTTTATACAACATGTTTAATACCTTATAGTTGTTAAAAATAAAGTTTTTTTCTCTTTACCACTATCAAACTTAGTTCATATTTAACAGTCGATCAAAAAAAGATCGTTTTGTTTATCATTATAGTCTTATCGTATTTATACGTCAATAGTCGATTGTTGCGTCATAGTCAATCGAATAAAGATAGTTTGCATTTTATCACTCACTATCCGTAATTCGTCATTATTTGCACTATATAGTTGTCTAACGAAATTTATACTTTATTGATTATTGAAGAAGAATAAATACTGTTTGACACCTCGTTTTCGTTTATTGTTTGATTTGTAGCATTATTATCGATTTGATCGGTTGTGTTTGTTGAATTATTTAGTAATAAAACATTTGATGCAAGGTTTAATAATGGTAGCGTTGCACTATCGCCTTTTACTTCTTCATGGTCATCTTCAAATAATATGACTTTATGCAAACCATTATTTAGTTTGTCTTTGTTTAACTCATCATTTTCTGCTGATGAATTATTTTTAAGTTCTTTGTATTCTTTATTTTTTTCCTTTTTTTCTTCCTCTCTTTTTTTCTTTTCTTTTTTATTTGCGTCAGCTGCTCGCAGCTCGTTTTCTCTAGATGTAAACAATAATTTAAAGTTTAAACAAACATCGAACTTTGTCTTCTATATGTTAGAACATCGAGAATTTAAAATGTTATAACACTAAATCTTTATGATGCCATGACGTCAATTATTAATAATGTCAAGTCATTAAGTCATTATGATGTCATAACGTGAAATCTTAAGATGTTATGATATCAAGGATGGTTACATATGAGTAACTTAAATAAATTAGAAGTAAATATTTAAAAAAAAACCTATGATAAAAATAGTTGAAGTTGGACACGATAACAGGAACCGGAAGCGCAATTGTTAACACTCCTGATATTGCACACAAACTTCCTACAATTTTTCCCCATGGTGTTGTTGGTTTCATATCACCATAGCCAACGGTAGTCATTGTTACAACAGCCCACCAAAAAGCGTCTGGAATACTTTTAAATGTCTCTTTATCTCCTCCTTCTGCATAGTAAACGGCAGAAGAAAACAGTATAACACCAATAAGTAGAAAAAATATTAAAAGTCCAAGCTCACGCAAACTTGCTTTTAACGTATGTCCTAATATTTGCAGTCCTCTTGAATGTCTTGAAAGTTTAAATATTCTAAAAACACGTACAAGTCGTATAACTCTCAAAACACCAAGTGAAGATACATTAGATGATTCCATTGGTAAAGTAACATAGTATGGTACAATAGCTATAATATCTATAATATTTAAAAAAGACCTCACAAATATGCATTTGTCAGGAGACGAAATAAACCGCATAATATATTCAAATGTAAACCACACTATACATGCAGACTCAATGGCAAACCATGGCATGGCTTTTTCGTTATTTATTTCACGTGTTACACAAGAATGAGTTCCGTTTATGCAGATTTTTTCATATCTAAATTGAGGAAGTGTTTCAACACAAAATGTTACTATAGAAAGTGTAATTATAGAAATAGACATAATAGCGACAATTTTTGCAAGCATTGAAGTGTCTGGGAATTCAAACAACTCCCATATTTTTCTTTTCCACTTCCCTTTTGGGTAAACGGGCTCTTCGTCCTCTATATACCCCTCTTCTCTTTCTATTTTATGAATTACATGTTCTCCAAGTTCGTAAAATCTTATTTCGTCCGTAAAAACATCCATAGGTACATTCGGCGGACGTATTAATTTTCCACATGATTGATAATAGAACAAAATTGCATCGAACGCGGGTCTATTTCGATCAAAAAAATATTCATTATGATCTTCATCGTAGTATGGTGCTCGTTTTAATTGATCACCTAGCAACGATTCAGGGTATTGTTCTAATGTTTTTAAAAATGTTTCATACTTTAAACCAGAGACGTTTATTGTTACTCTTTGAGAGATAGTCTTATTGTCATAGGAATTTAATTGAACGTTTTTATTTAGCCCAATGCCAGCATTGTCATTTTCTGAGTTTGAAAGCTTCCATTGATTTCGATCTATAAAAAAAAAAAAGAAGAAGAAATACCCAAGCAGTATTTTAAATAAAAAATAATTATAAATAAAAGTCTTAATTTACCATAAGGATCAGGATCTGTACCCAGGGCCCCACAAAAAGGAGGATGCAATAAAATATATATTATTGAATAAAAATAGAGAAAAAACAGGACATATTTAAGTTGTAAATATGTGAGTTTGTGTAAATTCTTTTAAATTATTTTTTTAGTGTAACAAAAAAAAGCTTTCCTCATCTAAACGTAAAATTGCTATCAAATCGTATTAACACGATTTGTAATTAATTAATGCTAAAAGTATTAGCGTTAAATACAATGTAGCTGTATTGTATTTAACATTACATTGTACTGTATTGTAAGGTTGTATTGTATTTTATTTAACATTGTACTGTATTAACATTGTATTAAACATTGTACTCAACAACCCCTAGGGGTTGTTGAAAATAGAAAATTAATAAGCTAAAACTAACCATAAAGAAATTTACAACAAAAAATTGCTCTAAAATCTTTTTATATTTGTCCTATATTTACATTAGTTACGTAAAAAAACTTCTTTTTTTAATAAGTTACAAGTATTAATATGGTTATTCACTCTAAACTCCAATTGTAAAATTCTTCAGTTTTTTTGCAGAACTCTGGATTGGCTAAATTTTGTTTGTAAGAGTTGGTCTCACATAACTTAATCAAATCTAAATAAACTGACTTTGTGTAATCATTTACTCCAAAATTCAAATAGTATTGAGTTTTGGAGTAAATGATGCAACTATTTGAATTTTTTATTTAATTTGGTGGGAGTTTTTTCTAGTTTTTCAGGGTTTTTCTGGTTTTTCAGGGAAGTTTGATCTGATTTTCGGGCTGATTGACGATGGATTGTTGTAATAATAGCATGAACCTTTTAAAGAAGGAAGATCAAACAGAATTCTGCTGGATCTTCTGATAAAATAAAAGTTATTGCTAGCTTTTTAATCATGGTGTTATACTCGGAATTATTAACAGGGTGTTTGATAATTTATTAACCATCCTTAGATAAAACAACTCTTGTTCTTTAAAAGTTACCAAATAGTCAGACAAACATAGCATCTACAGGTCACCAATTCATGCAAGAAAATTTTATTCTTTTTTAAATAGATTCTATATTTTTTCTATAGAAATTTTATTTTTTCTGTTGAGAAAGGGTGTATAAAGTGTGTTTGAGAAAGAGTATACCAAGTCCTTGGCATTTCAAATACATTAAAATATTATATTCATCTAGCACCACGCGATTTAACAATTTATACATTATGTATGTACGGTATAACAGACAAGCTATTACTATGAACCAAATTTTTTTCTTCTATTCGTTACAACGAAAAGTTCTTGGCACAAACTTACCTCCACCTGTTATAGTTACAATTGCTGTACCACAAGGTCAGTTTCAATTTTTTTTTTTTTTTTTTGCATTAATATTTTACGGAAATCTATCAAAAACACAATAACATTTTTTGTTAATAACTGCTAAATAATTTTGATAAATAGTAATACAGATGCATTTTAATTCGAATAGAAGCCAAAAACACATTTACACAATCTCAACAACTTTAATTAGAATAATTGTTACAACTTTAATTACAACTTATTATCAATGACCAATGAAAGAAAGTCTAAATTGACCTAAAAACACCTGGTTCAAATTGTTAATAAAATTGCAAAAAAAGCTAACATTAAAACTCTAAATGTAAAAAATTACTTTTTTACATTTAGAGTTTTGGGCATTATTATTATATACATGCGTAATTTAAAACGTTAAATTTATTTTAGTCATAGTTTGTTGCTATTTTAGCGAAAAATTAATATATTAGTTATGATTCAATATTAATATTAAATATTAATATTAATTAGCTTGGTTTATTTTCACTTTTTACGACTATAAAAAAAACTTTCTGTGCAAAAAAAAATTTTTTTCCACACAAAAGAATAGACTACGTGATTTTTGTTTTTTTATTTGACAGCTTTGGTTTCACTCTTTCACTCTTTTATTTGGTTTGGTTTCACTCTTAAAATGCCACCAAAAAATTCAGACATAAATATGTTAATACAAGAAATGCAAGAAAAAAATAAAGCAATTGGAAAAAAAACTAGACGAGAAAGATGTTTAGATAAAAAATCTTGAAGGAAGGGTAAATGAATTAGAAAATAAATTAGACCAAGATAAATCAAAACATTTAAATAATTGGAGTGAAGTCGTAAAAAGAAAAGTTAAAACAAATCAAGGCCAAAATGATATTATAAACACGGTTCTACATGAGGAAAAAGAACGTAATAAAAGAAAAAATAATATTATTATTTTTGGTGTTAAGTTAGCAAATCATGATAACATTGACAAGAAAAAATGTGATGAAGATATGGTAAACGATATTTTTGACTCAATAAATGTAGACAAGGATAAAATAAAAAAAGTCATTCGACTCAAAACAAGAGACACATCAAAAGTACCACCAGTTATCATTGAGTTAGACAATGCGTCAGACAAAATAAGTGTATTAAAAGCTGCATACATTAACAGAAACAAGATAAATGAAATCTATTTTAACTCAGATATGACAGAATCCGAAAGAGATCTCATTAAACAGCTACGTAGTGAAGTTAAATTGTTAAATGCTAGCCTAAATCAAAAAGATGAATACTACTACACTATAAGAAATTTTAAAATTGTGAAACTCATAAAAAAACCAAAGCAATAGCAGTGTATAATCCTGACATATTTATTGTAACTGAAACTTGGTTTAACTCATCAAGTGCCATAAATGTAAGCGGGTATAATGTTTTTTACAACAATCGATCTAAATCTAACTCAACTAAATCTCATGGCGGAGGTGTAGCTATTTATGTTAAAAATAAATACATTGCTTATACTCCATATGACCTAGCATCTGAAGAAATGACAGTTGAACAAGTCTGGTGTGTCATTAAAACAGAAAATGAGAATATCTTAATTGGTAGCATACATCGTCCACCAGATGCTACAGAATTGACAAATCAAAAAATAAATAAAATAATAAATATAGCTAAAAAAAGTGTTGATTGCAACAAATATTCAGGACTACTCTTAGCCGGAGACCTAAATTACCCAAATATAAAATGGAATGAGAATGATGAGAATATCTAAACAGTGTTAAAAAATGATGGACAAGCACAAATTTTTTTTAGACAATTTAAATGATAACTTTTTGACTCAAAACGTCACAAAACCAACCTTTTATTCAGGAACACTGTCAGAAGGCAATACCTTAGATTTGATTTTAACCGATGCACCAAAGCGTATTTCGATCATAGGCTATAATCCTCCGTTAAGCAATTTAAATAATGCACATCAGATATTGTATTGGAATTACATCTTAAAAAAACCAAAAACATCAAAATCTTCCACTGGGAAATCAAAGTTTAACTACAAAGCCGGAAATTATCAAGAAATGAACAATTCATTCCATAGTATAAGATGGTCACATATTTTCTCTAATAAAAATATTGATGAATGATTCAAATTTTTTGTAAATAAATATCAAGAATTATCTGACAGTTATATACCTAAAAAAGTGCATAAACACATAGCTTTAAAACCATATATTGACAAACAAATTAAGACTGAAATCAGACATAAAACAACCTTATGGAACAAATTAATATCAAATAAATCCAAATCACCCATTTTGGTTCAGCAATACAAAATACAAAGTAAATTAGTTAAAAACATGGTGAGGTTAAAACGTATTGAATATGAAAAAAAAATCAGTGAAACATCAAAAAGAAATCCCAAGTTATTTTATAGTTATGTAAATTTTAAAAAAAAGTTAAAGGAGGAATAGCTTCAATGTCTAATGAATATAATAACATTGTAACAAATAGAGAATCTATAGCAAATATTTTAAACAATAGTTTCAATTCAGTTTGTGTTAACGAAGATAAACATAACATACCAAATATACCGCAGAAGACTGAAATTATTCTAGAAGTAGATATAAATAATAAAATAACTTGCGATATTATTGAAAAAATATTAAAAATATTAGATGTTTACAAAGCTATCGGAGTAGATGGGATAAGCCCATATGTTTTAAATAAGTGTCATAGTACTCTCTGTGAACCATTACATTTAATATATATAAAATCGTTGACTGAGAAAAAATTACCTGAGCTCTGAAAATTAGCAAAATTACCAAATTTTTTCACCAAAAAAAGGTAATACGAACATTGCATCTAATTACAGGCCAATCTCATTGACTTCTATCCCATGTAAAGTTTTGGAATCACTCATTAGAGATGAAATTATGGATTATCTAATAAATAACAGCTTATTAAATGAAAATCAGCATGGGTTCAGAAAAAATAAAAGCTGCACAACAAACCTATTGGAAACTCTTGATATCATAACAGATGCACTAGAAAATGGCCACTCAGTTGATATGTTGTATCTAGACTTTGAAAAGGTTTTTGATAAAGTACCACACTCGCGTTTGATCACTAAACTGCAATCATATGGTATTGTGAGAAATTATCTGGGATGGATAGATAACTTTTTAACTAACAGAAAACAGAGAGTGGTCCTTGGCGACACTGTCTCAGATTGGTTTCCAGTTATAAGTGGTGTACCACAGGGGTCAGTTTTAGGACCACTGCCGTTTTTGATTTTTATTAACGATTTGCCAGATCAAGTCAAATACCCTATTAAACTTTACGCTGATGATAGTAAAATAATAAATATTATAAAAAATCCTAATGATTCAATAAGCCTTCAAAATGATATAAATAATATAATGGCATGGTCATCTATTTGGCTCACAAAATTTAATTATGAAAAATGCAAAGTTATGCATATTGGGAAAAAAAATCTAAATGCTACATTTATAATGACTGATATTGGTTGCAATTACAATTATACATTGTGTAACACAAAAGCTGAACGTGATTTGGTATAATGGTTCAATCCGATTTAAAATGGCACTCACAAG